CCCCCTCCGATTCTTCATTTATTTGGAGAAATTTCTTCTCCCCTGTAATCGGGGAAATAACTTCCACGGTTCCACCGTATGGGCCGGATCTCGGAATGCTCAATGAAAGAGCTTTGCAATGGCCAATTATTACGGGCAGCTGGTTTGGACAAGCTCTGGTTCTGTTCCAGCGGAGCGGTTGAGTTCTGATCAATTACCAGCAGGGCATCTACAACCTGCTCAAGATGATTTGGAGAACTGGGATCTTCTTCCATGTTAGCCTGTGAAAGAGTTGAGGGTTTATACCCCTGTTGCTGGTAAGGAACGATAGCCATGCTATTATTAAAGCCCAGTGGGGGAGTGGAATCAGCTTCCTTGACTACTTGTCAGGACTCAGAAGGGAGACCGTCCTGCTGTTTAAAAGGGACGATAGTCATAACATTATTCAAACCCAAAGAGCCCATAGGGGCAGAGGAGTTTGCAGAGAGCACCGAGGTATCCAGCGAACCTTGTAAAAATGGAATACTACTCTGAGAAGGTTGAGCCCCCACTGGAACAGCTGTCTGGAATGGGACTCGTGTTTCCTTCTGACTGTGGCATGTGTTATGAGGACCTAATACACTGATGGACCTTTCTGTGCTTCACTAGTATACAGCAAGTAGTGAGTTCTGATTATCTTTGTGTGCCAGTATTTTGAATCTTCTTTGCCTTGAAGCCTTTGTGCTTTTCTTTGCAGGTTTGGGTGTGAGGGGCAGTCTCCGTAGCATGTTTGTGTAGTTGCAGGTTTTTCTCAAAGTGCTCCTTCCCCCTCCTTTCCTGATTTTTCAGGACTGTTGTTTCTCTTTTAAGTTTCCCTTCCGCCTGGCCAACTCTTTGATCCTTTTGAGTCCTTTGACTCCTTGCGCGTGAATGAGTTGGACCTGTGTGTTGTTGTGAGAGTGAGGAGGACCTGCTGGTTTTTTATCCTCTCCCGAGGTAAGCTGTGCCATCATCTTCTGAGTGACACTGTGCAGTAACTTATTGCACATGTCATTCCATTCTGCACCCGGTGTGAGACCATAATGGAGCGCAGTCTTGAGACTATCACTACCACTCAACAAATGAGAGAGATTTTCCTCAATATAGCTTCAGTCCAAATCCGGTATAGCTGCATACTTAAACTTGAGATTTGCTGTAACCCACATCAGCATTTTCTGTAAGCTGATTTGCAGGTCAAGTAGAGAATCCGTACTATCTGCTTTCACACCCATTACCTCGAAGGCACTAGCGGTTAATGGAAGGCCAAAAATTCGGGGTTTTTCGCCGCGTCGCTACAAACAATGTTGTCGAAACTTTTGTGAACAAACTATGCAGGGTCATAATACAAACATCAAGAAAACAATCAGGCAAAAAAAAAACGAAAAAATCAAACTCAAGAGCACTATAAATCCCTATTCGGAGTAGCTTTCGGAGTTCGCCAAAGCTTTTTTCGAGTCTGCTGTTTTTGCTAAGTTTTTTGTTACTGCTTCAAATACGGCGAAACTGAATACAGATATACCCTAAAGCACATATATAACAGGCAAAAAGAAAAACTGAGAAAAGAGTAAAAATTCAGGGAAATATGACAGTTTCGGTGAAAAAATCGCCAAAATTCGCCGAGTTTTGGGCCTTCCATTAACCGCCTCTTACCGGTGCTGCTTCTACCTCCATCAACTCAGCTGCAAATACTTCCTTGAGGGTGTCCAATTCCATAGCGTCTGTTTCTGGTTGGAGGGAGCCAGCGGGCGAGGAATGAAGCTGTTGAGAGACTTGCTGGTCTCGTTGGATGGTCTGGATGGCCTGTTGTAAGACCGAATCCTGGGAATCTTGTTGTGTCTGTTGGACGAGAGAGTTGTGCTGATCCTGTTGTTCCAACTGATGGGCCAGATGTCCAGGATTAGATTTTTCTGCAGACTTTTTTTTTTTTTTTTTCAAATCTTCCTTCCATTCCAGATTAGTTTGCTGGTTCTTCTTTGGTAAATATGCATCAGGGGAGGGTCCGGTCCCTTTATATTGGGCTTTCTGAGGCCCGGAGCCTTCCCCCACTTGTCCTGTATTTTGTCTATTTTTTGACGACACGCTGTGCTCCGTTTGTTGACTTGATCTTATTATGAATAATAAACAAAGGAGCCACAATCAACTGTCCAATTACTCCCCTTTACTGGCAGCAACATAAAGAGCCATCCTTTGACCTCCTACACCTTCCTTCCTCCTTGGTGTGGCATCGGGCTATGGCGACTCATCCAGCCCTAGCTTTGGGTGTCCAAGGGATGACGCAAAGTTTCCATGTCCTCTCCCACTTCATCCACCAAGCCTACTCTACCAGATGAAGTCCTCAACCCAGCGGTACGGGGCCTTCGAGGTGCAGCGCCAACCTTGAAGATGAAGATGCAAGTCTTCCATAGCCAAGGCCCAAAGGTGGAGTCTTCTTCCCTGTTCCCACTTCCTTCCTCCTCCTTCTACCTCTACTCCCCCTCCATAGCCTAGCTAGAGGTCCTTCGCCCTCACCTCCATAGCCTACGACTACTTCTACCTGCCCCCTATAACTCCTCCATAGCCATGGAGGTCTCCTTCATCACCCTCCAGCTCCTCCTTTCACAAGGATCTCTTGCCAGCATCTCTTTCAGGCCAGAGCAGCAGCGCACTCCTTCAAAAGAGGACCTCAACTGCCCCTTGCACCGAATGATATACTCTTCTCCTACCCGAGTTAGAGTAACTTTCAGCCGAATGTCACTGTAGCTCAGCCTCCCCTTGCTGCACTGGACCAACTGGAAGTTCCTGCCTTTTGGTGGGAACAATATTGCAGTCTGGAGCTACCCCCAGGGCCTGAATCTATCCAAGTACCTCTCTATATACATGCCATGGACCATTGTGACTTTTTGCAAGCTACTGGACTTCCCCCTCCAACTACTGGGCCTGCCTAAGCCTTTCTGAAATGCCGAAAAAGGCCTACCAGATCCTTATCAAGTTCTACAACTACCCCTGGCCTTCCAGCATTTCCACACGTTCTCCTGTTTCCAAAGGTCAGGTCTGTCCCTGTGTCTACAGACTCTATAGTCTATACCTATTGCTGATCTACCCCAGCCCCAAGCACAGAAATACAGCACCGAAAACAGAGTTAGCACAAGGACACAGACTTAAAACTCATTCGAGCACAAGGCGCATGCATGTAGCGGGAGGTCACACACACACACACTTATAAAACACAGCAAATCACAGCAGAACAGGCTCAGACTCGGAATACAGAGAAAACAGACCAAAAGAACAGCATTTTCTCAGAAGTACCTGGAATCTCAAACGGCGATTTGTGTGGTTCATTGCACTGATTAAAATCATGGAAAAAAAGATGTAATGAGCCCAGTGGTATTGAGAAGCCAATCAGTGTCGTGATAAAAATCCGAACCCAGCGGACAAAATAATGTCTCCAAAGTCGATTACATGTCCATGCCCAGCATATGTGCATTTTCCCAGAGCATCGTAACTTCAAAGAAGAGAATGAGGTAGTCGGGAGAAGAGACAGAGAGGAGGAGAAGAAGAAGAGTCCCCGTCAATCATGCATGAAGTCTCTTCCTGCCCACTTCCTCCTCGGGCACTATCCCCCCTGACACCACCTCAGCAATGAAGTCTCTCTCTGACATTCTCTGACAGATACAGTGTGCAGGTCACAACAGGGCGCCCATCCTCCATCCACGTCAGCAACCAATAAGGGAGGATGGCGCAGGTCTTCCTCACCTTCATGGAGACAAGCAGCAGAGCACACTCGACGTCGCCAGGTAAGTCCAGGTAAGCTTCCCCTCAAACCCTCTCCAGTCTCACAGACCCGATCCTTCTCCTCGTCCAACCTCAACACCAACGTCTATAGCTATGGTGGCAATGGCCTCATGCTGGCGCCCACTCAGCAACACTGGCGCCAGCATAAACTCCAGCAGCGTCGTGATATCGTACTAGCATCAAGCCAGCGCAAGGCAGAATGCTCTCCCACAGTGGCTGGGTCCACTCTATATAGTGTCGACTCACGTTGACCAGCCTCCAGTCTCCTTGGATCGACAGCCCAGATGATCCGAAAACCAATGGCCAGGATGCAGCGCAGTCCCAGATTTCCCTAGTGTCCCACTTGGACTGGAATCTTCTGGATAACTGCAGACAACCACTGATGCGCATCTGATCGACAGCCGTGGCTGACCAGAGGGTTGACTTTGACTTTGGGCCTGGAATCCCGTGCTTGGGTTGACTCTTGATTTTCCAAGAGTCACTGTCTCACGTTGGGGTACTGGACACAGCTTTTGACTGAGATCTTGGTACCCCTTGACCCTAGGCACTTTCTCAGACATTTCTCAGGCTACAGTCTTCCCCCGAATATAACGCACGGTCATTATAGCTGAATTTGGTCTATCTTTCAGTCTAAATTCAGCTATAATGACCGTGCGTTGTATTCGGGGGAAGACTGTAGGGACGTGACATTTGACCCCTATTTCTGGCCTTCGACCAAAAGTGACAAGAATTTGAGGATGGCAGGTTCAACATGATGTGCTTGGCTGTGGGCTATGCGGTAATTCAGATGAACCGCTCATGCAAAGCAGCCAATCGACAGCATCCACACAATGACACACACTGTGAAGTAAACTCAAAGCATCTTATTATTCGAAAAACAATCATGTTAGCAAGTGGGGTTAACGATGTGTGCTATGGACATATGCAGTCCGATAAGGGCATACTGATTCTTTCGGAATTTGTTATGAGCCTGTAGCGAGTTGTGTCCAACTGTCGACTTATGTGTGTCATCCTAGTCTTCTTTCTATCGTTCCAATTTTGATGGATGTCAGGAAAGACAATTGTGTTCAGTTGCCCCCAAACCAAAATCATTTTTCACAACTTTTACTATTTATTTTAGGTGAAAAAAATAGTAATAAGTACTAATAACAATAACAACAATAATAATAGTAATAATATAAAAGAAAAGTATTGGTATGCTGTGGAGTTGTAAACCATGCATACAGACATACCGCAGTTGTCTGAAGAGTTGCATGCGCTGCAAGCTCATTGGCAGCCATGGCATCCGCTCTGGCCCCGGAAGCAGCCCTCCGCCCTGGATAAGCCTTCTCCGGGTTTTCCCCGTTGTCCAGTAGCAGACAGTGAATTCAATCAGTGAAAGAAGCAAGTTAGTTTCTGCACCATTTTCTTTCTTTTTGTTTGCCTTTTTTGCTTTCTCCCATCAATATGCAATGATCTTGCCCAAATTCACATCACATAGTAATCCAAAGCAACTCACAAGCTGTCACAAACTGCTCCAATTGCACACAATGCAAGATGAAAATGATATAAGAAATCGATTATTAATTTATTATGAGGAGCCAAAGAACAAACGAACAAGTAACAATTTGCATGGCAGCTATGGCTGCCCTCACCAACCCACAGGTATGATCTCTCGATTTCCCTCTCTGTCTGTCCCACCGTACGGATTTCTTCTCTCTCTCTCTCTCTCTCTCTCTCTCTCTCTCTCTCTCTCTCTCTCTCTCTCTCTCTCTCTTGCGCGTGCGCGTGCGCGCGCAGCCGGCGCCGTTGACTACCTACCTGGTATCTGCCCTTCCAAGTCGCACTTGTCGTTGGTCACAGCACTTCCGCAGCAGACCCAAATGGAAATTGTGTTGACGTTGCACTGTAGCAGCGATTTTGTACTTCACTGCCCCCCCAATCTTGGACTTTTCGGACCAGTTTATTCCCTGACAAATGTCTGTAGAGTTTTTTTGCTGGCCATGTCTCTTGCAACTGTGTAGTACAAGGCTGGAGGAAAAGAAAGTAGTGCTAAGAGACCGTTACCGTTCCCTAGCCTTCCTGGCCGCAGTTGTCTGACACTTCCGGTACGGACTTTCCGTGGGTTGAGCTGCTATTTTTGGGACTTGGACTTTGGTCGGGCACCGGACCTCTAACGATGTATCGGAAACTTGTACAGATGGACCTACGAGCCTACTGGTTGGACTATGATATATGGGTCATGGAACCTTGGGAATTCTCGGACCGGATTTGGGACTCAGGCGCAAAAATGTCTGAGATCCTTTCACTCCCAACGTCAAACGAGAAGCCATGACCTTTCTCACGTATCTGCATGGCATAGATCTCTCTTGGCCCGTGTGTAGTGTGAAATGGTGTCAGGGGCTGTGTCACGTAGCTCATTCCTAGTGCACCATCTGTCACCCTCAAGTTCCTGATACTGGTACCAGAGCTTATGTTGTGACTCTGTTCATCCTCTTCTCCTGAATCTGTAAATATATTCATCCTCAAGTTCCTGATACTGGTACCAGAGCTTATGTTGTGGCTCTGTTCGTCCTCTTCTCCTGAATCTGTAAATATCTTCATCTACCAGCCTATCTACATCATACCAGCCAGTCATATCAGGGGGAATCGTCGATCTTTGTAACGGAGCGGAGTTGAATGTCACACAAGCAGTGCTGGGCCGGCAACGGGCCGGTTGAGTTACCCCTGTCCAACCGGAGCCGGACCAGCCCAGGGGGTTGAATCGGGAAACCGGTTTTGAAAAAGAAGTGCCCAAATTAGGGGCCAAATACCCTTTATTTTCTTTTTTTGGCAGATTCCGACTGCGCTCTTCAAGAGCTGTCGGAATCCGCAATAAAATTTTGAAGTTACAACATTTTTCGGGGGGCTTCCAGAGGGAGGCAGGGGGTTATTATTGACATATTCAGGCAACTATGGCTTCCACGGGGAGGGGTCGAGTAAGCAAGTTCACTTATCTGAAACCCCCGTGGCTGGAGCATTTCGTGGAGTAGGTCATGTAATAATGATGCTCCACGAGCTGAACCACATATGATGAAAGGAGGTCCTTCCCAGAACTTATAGCTCTTCCAGAGTGTAGCTCGACAGCAGAAGAGTTATGGGTCCAGCTTTCAGCTTGTGGGGGCAGAGCATTTTCTGTTTGTTCTTTTCTACATAAGGTGAGTTATCAGTATGGAAGTATCTTGCCTGGCAGTCTGTCCAGATACATGTAGTGGAGCAAGGTCCATTCCAGATAGATAGAGAGAAGAATATAGCTTAGGTCCATGATTGGGATTGCACCTCGGGCTCTGACATCACGATTCCAAAATCCGAACCCATAACTTTTTCCACAGATGGCAGGGGCGTCGCACGAGGATATAATCTCAGCGGAGCCTCATCACGAGCATAGTGTTCACCTTGTGGCTGAGGGTAAACGGGCAGCAGATGCTACCAACGGTAACTGGTCCTTTGGACCACAAGAGGACAAATTGGAGAAGGGGCCTACCCGACCCACACACATCTTAAACCACTAGTACTTGGGCCATAGATCGGCCGCGGGCCTTCCATGTTAATGTGCCGCATTCTTAGGGTCTCGGGGGAGGGTTGGAAGCGCTATGGGCAAGGAAGGCGGCGGGCCCAGGGAAAACTGCCCAATGGACTCCAGTATGTCCTCTTGGATTTTCGTGCATGTGGAAACATGCACATGGCTGTGTGCAATGCCATAAAAGAAGAAAAAAAGAAAAAAGAGAAAAGAAACTTGCAAGGACGTGAAATGGAAAAGGCCGAAAAAAAAGAATAAAGGAAAACCAGAGCTGGCTTGGCAGAGCATTTTCATGATAGCACTTCCACATATGTATCTGGATGCAGTTTCACGCTAAAGCCAAGGATGTTTTCATTGCTTTCCTTTTCTTTTTTTTCCACGGAAGAGAGAATCCTGGCAGTTTCTAGGCTGACTCCCCGTGAGAAACGGGGAGCATCCAAGTGCCTTGTCAAAATGAACGTTTCAGGCACTTTCCCAAAATGAATGTATCCTTCCTCAATTGTGGGAGAATTCAAGTTCCTGTCATGAATCGGAAGGCACTCGCGTTGCACACCATCTTTTCCCGTTTTTTTTTTTTTTTTTGCTGCAAACGAAAGGAAAAAGAAGAAGAATATGAGCTGTATCTGGCGTGCCCCAAAGGGAAGCACTGCCCCGAGAATGTACTCTCCCTCAGTTGTGGGCAGATACTCGTGAATAGGAAGGAGGAAGTGCAGCCACCTTTTCTGCCGTTCTATATATACACCTAATGCAGTCAGCTATCATTCTGTCCCACATATACAGTCCCAGCTAATTAGCGTACGTTTTCTAAATTGCCCTTCCGTGTTGTGGCACTCTCTAAGTATCGGATTACAATCTTTTCATCGTTCGGTATGCATAATATGTCCTCACCATTTACAATCTTTTCATCGTTCGGTATGCATAATATGTCCTCACCATTTGAAGTTAGCAACAACAACCTGTCAGCTATTCTATACTCAGATACTTCATGGGGTTTCTCTGGTACACTAGAGATTGCGGTGCTCCAAGTATGATCACCAACATAAGCAGCTTTTACATTTTGCTATAGTTCTTTCCCGACATTGAGGTAAGTGACCATCGTTTCGAAAACGTCAGCTCTCCTAACAGCACATCGGCTACCACATTATACTTGCCTTGGCTTCAGCTTCAAATTGAGCTCATCAACTTCTCCAGCCTGTCTAGCTAGCTTGGGCGACATCTTAGCCTGCGTTTTTAGCCAACGAAGACTCTCATGATCTGAATAGACCTTAAATTGTTGGCCTAGGAGATAACATCCAGGTATCTAAAGCATCATGCAGTAGAGTTCTCTCTCACACAAAAAATGTTACTACATTCTCCGATGGTAGGCGTCTCGACATGAACTCAAGAGGGCGGTATCCATTCCCAGCATCTTGCTGTCGCATGGCCCCTAACCCATATTGACTTGCATCAGTTATAACTATAAACTAGTATAAAGGGGATTGAGGGGTCTGCTATTTTTAGCATGGGGTATTCGATTAACACCTTTTTCAATTTCATGAATGTGGAGATGCAGTCTCTACCCCACAGCCACATAGCTTCTTCTTTAACAGTTTGTGCGAGGGTGTTGCGATTGTGCAATCCACAAAGTTCCTATAGTAGTTAGCTAGGTCCAAGAACGAATGTAGTTCCGTCAGGATCTTTGATGACAACCAATGTCTAATTCTAGCAATCTTTGCATCCTCTGGACTCACTTCATCCCCATCTATCACATGGCCTAGGTACAGCACCTTTTTTTTTTTTTTTTTTTTCAAAGAAACGACGGCCCAAGTGAATGCTAGAGGTGCTGGTAGGAGCAGACACCACTAGCAGGCTTGGGGAGGCTCCATCTATTGGTGGGGAGCAGCACCTGCTGGAAAGCGGGTCCAGCGTCCCTTAACATTTGAACTATTGAATGTGATGAAAGACTGCTCAGCTCAAGGTGGATGCTGAAAAACAGGTCCCACATCCCATGTACTAGACCCTAGTCAATAGTTGGTACCAAGCACAAGGATGATAATGGGAACGGGTCAGGGAAGTCAGCAAGTGGACGCAGAGGGATGGAAGGATCCACATTAGTCCAATCATGAAATGATAGTTGATAGATCTTTTTGAATTCTGGCTGCCCCCCCTTTCTGTTAACTCTTTTATCTCCCTTCCCCTTGATCACTCCCACTTTTCCTTCCTTAGTGTCTCCCAGCCAGTCTTTGCTGAATTTTTGAATGTGACTGTCAATTTCTGATTGAATCGATAAATGTTGGATCTTTTCTTTAAGTTTATCCCATCGGGCCGAAATATCAGTTTGGATGTGATTTTTTATCGAGTCCGTGAATTCAGGGCCCTCAAGCCTCACCCCTTCCATTTCATTGGTGCAACATCTGTGCCACAGGGCCCACAAAATGGCTCTCCTTCCTACCTTAAATAGATTTTGGGAGAATTCGTTCTGAAGAGGTGGGTCCCATGTTTCACATAGAAGGGCTTTCCAATCTCATGGCCAAGGGTTTGAAGTTGTGAGCTGGCTCCAGATTCTGTCCCACCACCTCCATAGCCATACCGCACTTGGACATTGAAGGAAAATGTGCTCTATGGTTTCTGGGATTGCTCTTGATGGGAAAGTTGATGTGCAAAATTTGCACCTTTGTTCAAGAGTAGTTCTCTCTATACGGTCTCAGCATTCTATATGTGGATTTGACTGTTAGGGTGTGGACTGCAAGTGTCCAGGTACATTTTCCTCCTTTTGAGGTCCATTTCCATTGCGCTGGATCCAAGGCC